CTTCCTTGTATCTGAGGCAGGAAACATAACCTTATATGGTGTTTTTGGGGTGGTAATTATGCCAATCTCCTCTCGTGTGCACGAGCAGCTGGATAGAACAGGTGTAAATTACGCAGCTCATTTACGCACTTTTCCTGAAGATAGAAGAGTTTGTTGAATCTGACGTGACATGTCCGTACGAACTCTTTGTACAAACAAAAGTAAGAGAAATTTAGGATAAGAATACGAACATGTTCTTGCATGAGGCCCAATGAGCTATCAGCAGCAACATTCCTCCACAGCTGAGTGATGTTATTGTAGCTGAAGGCAGCACAAGGCACAGTCCAGACAGTTATTAGGTTTAGGGCAGAATTTGTCCTCACACAGGGCCAGGTTGGTTTGAGCAGCTTTTCTGTTTTTATGAAATCATGATTGAAAAACTGTATTTTGTGTTTACTCAGGTTATCTTTGATCGTTTGAAACATGTAAGCACGGCAAAACCAGATGAAATGTGTAAGAGGAGAAAGCCTTTTTCACAGCACTGCCTGATGTTTCTGAGAGCTCCAACCTGACATCCAGCTTTCTCCAGCATCTGGGCGTACTGGACCGTCTTCTCAATCTCCTTGAAGACCCGGACCTTACATGTGATGGGCACTGAGAGCTTTTCATTGGCTAGACTGACTGACAGACGAGGCAGAAACAATGGATTTTTAGAACTTTACAAACAAAATGAGTTGAACAAAATAAGATTAAAAGGTTTTTGTTTTTGTGTGTTTTTAGGGAGTAGTCCCATTCAAGCAGAAACAAGTAAAGAAAAAACTAAAAGGACTCCCTCTGTTTACTGATGCAAAACAAGTTATTTACACTTACCCATCTTCTCTAACAGTTCCCATTCATCCTGCAGGAAAGCTCCGTAGTGTCCTTAAAACAAACATCTGCTCGGTTAGTTCTCTTGATAAAGTGTGGAAGTAGCTTTGCATGAAGCCAGAAGTTCTGACGCTCAGTCACCTCTCTTTGCTATCATCTGTGGGCAGCCCAGGTTCAGGTCGATGGCATCACAGTGGTCCTGAGCCAGGAGGGCAGCTTGAAGGAACACATCTGGATCGTTGGCACAAAACTGACAGAGATAAAGGCAGATAACATCATTACACAACAAACTATTTATTCAGTTCATTCATTTCATTTGATTTTTCATTTAAACAAAAACAAAATACATTCAAAACATGAAACAAAATGAGAGAAAATGAGAAAAAAATACATACACATTTATATTAAAATGAATTGAATTATATCTGCCCCCATTTCCAAATATAACATTAAATTCAACAATACTAATCAAGTAATGGTTTAAATCAGTATTTTGTCAATAAGTCTTCAATTAACAAGATAAGACAAAAAAGATAATAATTAAAAAATTAAAAAAACAAGCTTACAATTTTTTCGAGCTACAAATAGTATTAATAGTAATAAACCAGAATATAAATACATTTAACATGAAAAGGAGTGGGAAGAAGACAAACTTATTTACTCACACTCCCTATTCAATATATAAATTATGTGATTGTTACTGACATTTAGAATGTAATATATTGCATGCATAAACGTTTTTTTCTTTTTCTCTCTTCCTCTTTCCCTCCCCTTCTCCTCCTCTTCCAAAACACATTCCCTCACTCTTCCTTTTTCCTTCCCACTATTCCTTCCCTTCTCTTTTGTTTTCATAATATATTTTCTTGCTAATACCCATGATGTCATCCATAACGTCATCACCAAATCATCATTTACAAGTCAAGGTTTATAAATTTGACTTTAAACTGGGAGATACAACAGTTCATTTTTTATTTACCTTTTCATTTGCTAACTGCTAAAAGGCGAAAGGCAGATGATAATGTTTCTACCTGCCAGCAAAATATCTCACTATAAAGGCCCTGTTGACCTATAACGTATTAGACAACTTATGAAAAGTTTGTCCAACACTAAAGATGAAAAAATCTACTGGAAGCCGCGTTTGGAYCTATACAAACTGTAACAATTACAGCAAATTTAAAGAAGGTATGTGTAAATTTTCACAAGTGGACATAATTTGTGTAAAACGTTACAGTGTGACAGGGTCTTTAGCCACTTCACATTTTAATAAAACTGCAGGCGGTGTACAGCTACAACTGTTGAACTTCTGTAGGCGACCCAGTTCAAGATGGCTGCCACAGCTGACTGACTTTAAAGAATTTTATTTTACAGCTATTGATGTAAACGTTGATGTGGCAGTGTCRGCAACAATAATACTGTGTCATCTCATGGTACCACCAGAGACACGCATTTATTTCAATGTTTGACTAAAACAGCTACAACCCCATGGTGTCCACTAGGAATGTGCCTTTACTAAGTCTTCTTATGTGTTGTGTTTAAAACTACTGGACAAAAAAACTAAAACATGTACGGCTGCAACTAACGATTATTTTAACAATCGATTAATCGATACATTATTTTTTTGATTAATCGATTAATCGGCCAAATCATTAAAACGCTTACCAATTACATGAATGAGTAGATATAAATTAAGTTAACTCCTTAAGGATGCAAGTTATCGATAATGAATTAATCTGAAGTTAATT